CTAACTAAAACTAAATTGTGATAACAATAAAAACATTTGAACTGCCCAGCACAGACTCGCCAGATAGAATCTTAAGTGCATTCTACTTTCTAAATTATATTGATCAACCTAATGATTTCTTTGGGCCATCTATCTGACAAGTATTTCTGAACCAAAGCTGTAATTTTCTGCAATTCAATTGTGCAAGCAAACAACAACAACAACACAACAAAACCCAAAACAAAATAGAATCCTAAAAATCAAAACATAACTTTTCACTCATTGAATGCCCATTAGGAATACAAAACTTTCACACATTTGATTTATTTTTTTGACTCTTCTTCTGGAGATGAAATCTAGTTGTCTGGAATGCTTTTGAAATTAAGTTTGCTTTATTATGGCTTCTGGGTACGGAGCTAATGTTTAGATTATTGGCTTCTTTAGTGGAAAAGCAAGAAAATTATAATGAGGCATATGCTATTTTATAACAGAGAAATGACAAGATTTTTTTTAAAAAATGTTACAATGAATAATTTTAAAACTATAGCCCAATATAATAATAACTGGTTGTTTTTAATAATTACCACTATTATTTGTCCCAATAGTAGGACAAATTATTTTCACAGAATGCATATAAGCTATGTTTATTTCTAAAAAGATTGTGTGTGTGTACTTTTGTTGTCAGTAATAAAAGGGGTATCTATAATGTGAGCATTCATTGCCAATTATTACAGACTGGAGCTTTCACATTTTTCTTTGCTGTGTCCCTTTTTCCTAGGAGAAGTATTTTCTTCATTATAAAAGAAAAAGTAGGTACAGCCTTAAAAAATGCATGTTGTGGGGACAGTTGACAGATGACCCTCTGTGAAACTTGATTTTGCAAACCTAGGTATTTGCCAGCTCTAAGATAACTAAAGTTACTCAACCTTTTTGTGTCCTTGTACATCCATACCCAGGTGACCATGTTCAAGCAAGCAGAAAGTTGATTTAAACCTCATAATGACATCAGTTTAGAGCCATCAGATTTCTCCGATAAAGAAATTGTGTTGTATTCTGTCATGTCTAAATTCTCAAATTATCTTTCCTTTCTTCTTCTCAAATCCAATAAAGCTGTAGGACCACAAGAGAAGATGAAAGGGAAAAAAATAACTAATACCAGACACTGACCAATTAAAATTCCTTTTGTTAATGTTTGCCTATCATTTGTAAATCCATTTTTAAATATCTCCCCCCTCCTAAGTTGCAAGAACTAATAGTTACAACTAGACAGTGAAGCCTATTCATCAATCAATGCCACAACTGCTGAATTACCTACTAGTGTCTCCAATGTGTTGCTGCACAAATTACACTTCATGCATCACCACATTCATTTCTTTCACATTACATGTTAGTGTATCTTGTCACTGCCCAATTGCCCTCTTTTGGACAGCTTAAGTGATATATTATGCTATGAAGCTTGCCAAGGAAACTTAATAATAGAGGGATTGTTTGTAAAAAAAAAAAAAAGAATTAGAAAGACATGAGTCCAGAGTCCAGTAAGTGAATATGTAAAAATAGTTTGTGAGATTTCTCAATTACGTGTGAAGGTGTAATTAGCTTATGCTATAATGTTTTACATGAACCAACTCAACCTTTATACTATTTCCTTTAATTTTCCTTTTAAGCCTCTACAATGGCAATATTAAATTTGATATCGCATAAAGTTTCCACTTGACCATCTTCTACCATTAATAAGAAGCATTTGACTCCATTCAACGTTGACTCCCTGGATGTTTGGTTAACACTAAATGGAACAAAAAACAATTCTTCAGCTTCCTTCTTTGCTTTGGGGTAAGAAGAATGCAATAAATGTAATGGATGCATGTCCATGATTAGCAATAAAATATTTCGGGGAGGGGGGGGGCGAATCATAGATGAAACAGTTGAACATAAGGATTGCTCACAAGCACATCTTGCTTCAGATTACAATCCTAATGATCAAGTCTATAATGGATTAATCACTTTGGAATGTCTAAATTTTAATAGGTAAATCCAAGCTTAGATTGAAATAAAATCCATCCCTACTGGGGACGATTGAAAAGGACTTACATACATGTACGTATGTATGTACGTATGTATGTTCTTTTGCGTCCTCCCCAATAGTTTAAATTATAGGGATGGAATTTCTTATTTCAATCTAAGCTTGAATTTACCCATTAAAATTACATATCAGGAGATGGAATTTATTAAGCATCTCCTATGTTGTTCAAAATAAACTGAGGACTAGGACGACTGCAAGAAGCTGAAGTAGGTGAAGAGAATGTTTGCTACAAAATAGTCAACCAGTAGGTAAAATTAATCAATTGAGTTATCTGGAAATGCTGAGAGGACTATTCAAATTTCCTAGGCATTTGAGGATGTGGGGGGAAAAGATAAGGTAGACCTTTAGAGCAGAGACACAGCATTAAAAAGAATCCCTTTGTTCAACCCATGCAATATCATGTTAAGTCTCAATGATGGTAAATATAGATACAACTATTTTAAGACATAGAAAGAAAATGTGAAACTTCTTATCCCTTGTCAAACACAGGATTAAGGCAACGGGGATCTATTGTTCAAACTTTGTAAGGTAAAGAGGACTCAGATGGTGGGGGCACTGCATGTTTTCAAAATGTGACTACCACAATACATTCAGTGCCTGACTCTCATCTCTCTATAACATTGTCAACTTTTGGACCCGGTCTTTAGCAACAAATAGAATTGCCGTCATTAGAAAGCAGCATGTTTATGTTATGCTGTGAAAAAGTTCAACTGCCAATTTCTGCACACCGAGTGGCTGTTAAATATACACAAGCAAGCCTGGCCAGAATTTGTAGGCTTTTTTCTTTGCATCTAAGAATTGCAATGCTCTTATAGAAAGTGAGAGAGCAAAACAGGGTAAAAAAATAGGACATGATGGATAGCTTAACTCAATATTTTGTGAAAGTCTTTTCTTTACCCTCAGAATAATTTATCCAATTTAGACATCACCCATCTTCCTCACAAAAGGCACATTGGGTGGTGTTCAAGTAATATATAAAAATATAACAACTGTACATAAAATTGTATTAAGAGGCAAAGGTAATTAAAATTCAGAATTAAAAACAGGAAGAGGGCCTTCAGGTGGCTAACCAGCCCCATGCCTGTGTCTTCTTCTGGGATCCCTAAGCAAGAAAACAATTATCTTTGTTTACATGACAATTTATTCTGTTTTACAGATAGTCCTAGACTTATGACCATAACTGACCCCCATTGACTTTGCTTGTCAGAAGGTTGCAAAAGCTGAGCATGTGATCCCGGGAGACTGTAACTGTCATTAAAGAGGAACCAGTTACCAAGCATCTAAATTTTGATAACATGACCATGGGGCTAATACAATGGCAGGGGTGGAATTCAACTGGTGTTACTACCGGTTTGGTGATTACGTTTTGTGTGCAAATGCGTGTTTTGCGCGCATACGCGCCCGACGTACACTGTGCGCACGTGTAAAATAACCTTAGGCTGTGCCGCCCGGACACCTGAAAAGCACTGTGCGCAGGTGCGGAGCGTTCAAAAAGCTTCTTTTCCCCTGCTTTTTTAACCTCAGCTGTGCTGCGCAAATCAGCTGAGGTTGAGAAAGCAGGAAATAAAGGACAGGTAAGAGGCAGGGCGGGCAGGTGTGCCAAACAGCAGCAAACACAGAACTGGTTCTGTGTCTGCTGCTCTTCAGAGCTACTGGCTCTATAGAAATGGGCAGAACCGGTAGCATCCCACCACTGTACAATAGTCGTAGTTGTAAAAAACGGTCAGAAGTCACTTTTTTCAGTGCATTGCAAACATTTGCTTGTGCCATTTGTGAATGCTCACGAAATGAACTTTTGTAAGTCGAGTACTATCTTTATAGGTCAAGGGTCTTCAACCGACAGCTTTAAGACTTGTGGGCGTCAACTCCCAGAATTCCTGAGCTAACATAACTGGAGAAGGAATTCTGGGAGTTGAAGTCCACAAGTTTTAAAGCTGTCAAGTTTGAAGACCCCTGGTATAGGTGAATGTTACAATTATTGCTAGCAAAAATCTTCTCAGACTATTGGCAGAAAGACTATGAGCACCATGGCCTGAACGAAGGAGCAGAGCCTTATGGACAGTCTGCCAATAGTAGACTAAATTGAAACAAGTTGGAGGATTAACTTGTGTAATTTATGTTTGACTTAAAACACCAAAGATTTCAAGTTATCCAGAACTTTTTATCTATATAGCTTGTTACGCAGAACTTTTTGTCTGCATTCTTGTATCAAGACAAGCTGATCTAGCTAAAAAGCTTGAGTTGGATTATTCTCTTGTTTATTCTTTGTTCTAAGGAAAGATGAGCCTAACAAAGATCGGATACATTCACAAAAGGAATACTACAGGTAATCTTTCTTATAAAAGTTCGTTTAGTGACCGTCTGAAGTTACAACAGCACTGATAAAAAAGTGACTTATGACCATTGCAAGCATCTCCATGGTCACGGGATCAATGCTTGGCAATCGACTCCTATTTATGACAGTTGCAGTGTCCAAACTCATGTGATCACCGCTTGTGACCTTCTGACCAGTAAAGCCAATGAGGAAGCCAGATTCACTCAACAACTGTGATGCTAATTTAACAATTGCAGTGATCCATTTAACAACTGTGGCAAGAACTGTTGTAAAAAATGGGGCAAAATTCACTTCACTAATGTCTCACTTAGCAACAGAAATTTTGGGCTCAATTGAGGTCGTAAGTCGAGGAGTACCTGTAGTTTGGAAATTTGGGTGAAACCTGGGGTCTGTAAAAAAAGTAACTGGAAGTCCAGTGCATTTGCTTTCACAGGAATTTCCTTAGCCACCATACAAAGGTACAGTTGCACAGACATCATAAATATCTATTATGTTTAAGGCGTGACAGCTAGAAAAAAGGAATGCAAAATAATTTTCCCCCAAACCCCTTCTTGCTGGAGTGATTTATCCCCATTATCGTTGGCAACCCTCAAAACCCATCCTTACCTTGAGCAAGAGGCTGCAATGACAAAGCAGGCTGGCCCGGCTGAATCGATAGCAAACCTTGACGTTGCAAAGACAAGAGGTGTTGCTGTTGCAATTGCTGCATTTGCAGAAGCTGCTGCTGGAAGGCCAACTGTTGCGAAGTCACCTGTTGCTGCTGCGGCTGGCAAAGAGAAAGAATCAATACGCTTCTTTTACTTTCATATATTTACTACTACTCCCTTCCACACTTCCTATGTTTAGGAGGGAAGGAAACGATTCATGAAAGAACTTGTGAAAGCTGCTGACCATCTGAGCCAGAACTACAGTAAGGGGGTAAAAGACTTAGGAACAGTGATATCTGCTTTAGCATGTCTACTTAACGTGATGTTCAGTGAGATTTAGTTCCACTTGAGGATTACACCTCAGCAAGTCGCAGGAATACAAACAGTCGTGCCAATAGTTACAGCTAGTTTAGAAGAACTGCTGCTATGAGCTCAGGCAACTATCGATGGGGCCCCGGCATCTATAAGAAAGTAGCAGCAATTCCCCAGTGCATTTTGCTTTTAGGAGAATTCCCTTAACCACCATACAAAGGGTACAGTTGCACAGACATCACAAATGTCTATTATTTTTAAAGTATGTCTGCATATCTTATGTCTCATTAGTTAAATGTTTTCCAAGAGTTGAACTTGGCAGCATACCAGGTGCTCAATAAACCTTGCTGTTTTGCTGCCTGCTTGTAAGTGTAAAAATGAGGGACCTAGCTGTCATCACATGGCAAGCCATAATTCAAAGCTAGTCAGTTACATTGAGCATGATGGATCACGGGCTCCACAGACCTGTTAAAGCAATCCTCAAATTATTGGCTGATTTTGTAGCTTAATGGGTTTCAGAATGGTGGCCAAATCCTAATCTTAAAAAGCTGCTTTTTCTGAGAAGTCCTATTACAATAATTATATTCGGGTCTATAACTATTTGGGGGGATTCAGTAAAGCAGAATCATGACACATTTGAATTTTTTCAAGGAATTCATGGCTACAATGGGTGGTATTGAGGGAAGACTAGGCCCTTCACCAAATGTCTGCCACGATAGGCAAATTTAGTCCAATTATTTAATGGAATGTACTAGTGCATATATTGTCCGCCAACCTCAGCTTAACTATGTTTTTCTTTTCTTTTCTTTTTTGGGCAAATGGATACACTTCAAAGCAAGCATTATGCCAATAGCACTCATGTGGGATTCACAGCATTCACAGAAATAAATACTGCAAATTGGACTGTGCTTTTACCATACCAGTCATCCATTCTTTCAAAAGTAATTTAAACAATTACACATATTTAGAAAAAAAATCAAGTGTGGTGGTGGTGGGATCCATCCAGGAGCTGAAGGAGGTGACTAATGGCCCCATCAGTTCTAACAAGGAACTTATAAAGGTTAAACAACATTTGTGCACTAAAAAAAATAATTAAGATTTTTTTTTTTAAAAAAAAGATAAGGACTCTTCCATTTATCATATGTTTATGGAGACCCAAACATAAATCTGAAAAATATGAAAAAGGTAGGACAAAATATAAGCAAACAAAACACTTCCATGTATTATCACAAGATAAGGTTTCCAAAGCTTAAACCTTAAACGGGGCAGACTGGAGAATTTTTGTCACGGCAATATGGAATTAGCCAAATTCATGCATTTTTTAAACAATATAAATTATAAACTTTTGAATCATTTAAAAAGCATGACCATATGGCATACCTTTTTAAAAACAATTTCAAGTGAATGACGTCTATAAATAGAGATTCAGCATGTACTTTGTAGTAGCATTACTAATAGATGGGTGTGGTTCAAAAATTTGGGTTGTCACTGTGATTGGCAGCTCATGGAGTTGAGTTGAACTGCCTAGTCCAAACATAGAAAATAAAACAAACCTCATACATTTACACTTAATTGTAATGATAAATAACCCATGCTATGCTCTATTTACTTATTAAAGTACTGTCTCAGCTATTAAGGCACCAATTGGTTAATTTATTGTATTTTCCACAGGGGCTGTTGCTGTCATGCAATCTATCATTTCCACTTACAAAAAAAAAACCTTCAGCAGTTTGGGGAAAAATTATCTCAGGGGAAAAGGCTATGATGTTATACTTGCCAGGATCTGAACCTTGAACCCTTAGAGGTGTAAAAGACCGAGTTGCTTTCTCACTGCTGCCCCCAGAGAAGGTTTTAACTACTCTGTTTATCACTTCTGACATAAATAAATGAGAAAAAATCCCAGACCTTTGAAGAAGAAAAACTTCATCTAATATTGTTAATTAGCCATGACAAACGATGAAATAACACTGTAAATCTTTCATAGAAACAGCCACTAGATTTTAATTATACACATTCATAATTTAGCAAACAACATCTTATTTGAATGCACTTAATATGTGCAGTACTTGAGGCTTCAGAGTCCTTCATTTTGTTTCATTTAAGCAAGCCCTTAGGTTTTACTAGTCTTGTATTTTATTTACTTTTGTTCTTTAAGCACCCATGAAAAAGCTTTTGCTGCTTTGATAAGGATCTTTTTATTTATTGAGCAATGACAGGAGGAAACTTTGGTTGTGTAAAATATCAGTGCATCAAGCCAACGTTTAGCAATTCCTTAAGCTAGCCAAAAAAAGTTAATGTAGATTTCCTTAGTAATTATCTTAGTGATAGAAAGATAACATAGTGCACTAGCACAATAAACAGAAGGAAATTATCTAATATCCCTAATCTGTTAGGAATCATATCAAGGTGGAGGGCTTCAGAGAGTTTGCAGCTAACGTCTGCAGAAAGAAAATTAACCCTTGACTGACTGGAACATATAGAAACTATAATAGAAAGAATGGGGAGTATGTGAAGAATTAAAACCTATATACAATGGAGAATAACTGCCTATAGGAATTTTCTTATTTTCATCTTCAAACAATTCATTCTAAAAATATATTGTCAGCATCTACCCACTTTGGCTGATTAAAAAAACAATCATGGTTGGGCCTGATTACTAGGATGTTCAGCAAGAAAGCAGACTGGTAAAGGCAGGATGGGGAAGTTAAAAAAAAAACTTGGAAAAAGGCAATGACAATGACAAGCTGCAAGTGACATGTGAAGAAACTTACACAGAACTGGAATCACCAGGATTCAATTTTGATTGGAACAAGTCTTTATAAACATCTATAAAGGCATTTATTGCTTGCCATTAAGGTGGGAACTCCATTTTTTTTCACAGTCAACCAGACCAGAATATATTTACAACTATACAGCTGTACAAAAACAAGATACACAAAAATGGAGTAGATATAATCTTTGGAGTGGGTGGCTGTAACAAATCAACCAACCAACCAATATTTTGTGGTTGGAAACAAAAATAAATGAATAATATATAACTTTGCCTCTTCAACAACCAACTTGCATGTAAATTTTACCCTCTTTCTTGGGAGAATTATCTGCAGAAATGCTCCTCAAAATATACCAGGGAATACCCTTCCTTGAAACAAATTCCCACTTGGATAATATTGTTCTGGAGTTTTAATTACCTATTTTCACTTGTTGGGTCAAATGTTGGAGCTGTTTTTACTTTTTGGATCAAATATTACACCTTCTTTCTCACCTATATTTCGTTCCAGCTGAAATAAATAGGCAGTTCTGAAGAAAATAAACTATTCCTTGCTTCCACACACCAAATCCTCCCTTCCTCTTTTTTCATTGTCAAAATTAACAATAGCAAAGAATATAATACAACTGGTTCAAATGCATGAATGCTGAACAGCCAAAGGTTCAAAATGAAAGACCCCCATACTAAGAAAAGGCAGACCATATATTAATCCCAAACCCAGACTAACACACACACAAAATTTTGGGTTTACATCAGTGGTGATGTATATTTAAGTAGTTTACCATAGGTTCGGTGTGTGTGGCTTGGTGTGCACTTTGCACACACGCAGAGGCTTTCCTAATCATCTCCTGCAATCCTGCATTCTCCCTGTCGCTTCAACAGCTGACGCACAGCAATCTGCTGTGCCGCGCAAAGCAGTTGCGCTTCAAAAGCAGGGAATAAAGTATGGAGCCTGGGTGGGCAGGTGGGCCCAACAGCAGCTTGTCAGAGAGAACTGGTTCAGTCCCCGCTGATCTTTGGCGCTACCAGTACGCCAGAACCGGGCCGAATCAGTAGAATAGCACCACCGGTTTACAATAATATATATGCCAAACAAGTAAGTTATATTATGACTCAAAACAATGCCAGTGCCATGCAACAAACTTTGACAATGGTTGGTTCACACATTTTATGGCTTGTTTTTATTGCACAACTACCCAGAATCATGTTTTATGACAGGGGTCCCTAAGCCTCAAGCCATGGACTAATACCAATCCATGGTCTGTTAGGAACTGGGCTGTATAGTTGGGGTGAAATGGCAGGCCAGTGAGTGAATGAGCAAAACCGAGACCATCACACCCACCCACCCCATCCAAGGAACAACTGTCTTCCACAAAACCAGTTCCTGATGTCAAAAAGGTTGGTGACCACTGTTTTATGAGATAGACAGTTATACAAATATGATTAAGTATTTTAACTACAACTATTTAATTCTATTTCAGCTTAATCTAGACTATTGTGGAAACCAACCATTAAGTCCTTCATAAAAAGCTGGTTTGTTCTTGGCACTGTACATTTGAGCAGCATGATAGTTAAATCAGCCTTGAGACAGAAATGACATGGGTAGCATCTCTTGACTGGAGAGGCAACAGCAGGATCAAAAGAACTGCTCAAAGGCACCTCTTGGGAAACTGGTGCCAACAATGGCAAAATGGGGCTTCCCATGACTGTAAGCATACTAGGACTGGAGGAAAGGGTGGACCCATTGTTAAGTATTTTATCTTGCCGTTTCTCCTTATTTGCCCTCTTTCTCCCTTTAAATTCGCCACTCACTCACTTCCAATTATTCTTTATTTTTGCTACCTCACCAGAAATATATTCTGACACTGGCAAGGGGCATTCATGGCAGGGAATGCATGTTCAAACTCTTTTTATTCCAAATTGCGAATGCACTTCTCTTTTTATCCTTAACGTGTCTATTAAAAGCTGTTACTATAATTACTCATATGGAACTGAATCTGTATTACATCATTTATCTAAGGGCACGTTTAACTAGGAAGA